ATTTATTATGTATTATATGATATTTTATATATCATATATTATATGAAATTATTTACGTAATAATAAAATAATAAGAAAATAAAAAATAATATAATTATGTACAAAATACAGCGCTTACCTTATATTTTATATTTTTAAATCAAGAATATATATATATATTATTATATATTTTTAAATCAAGAATATATATATATATTATATATATTTAAAGAACAGAATATAATAAATAGATTTCTGTGTATATTCACAATTCCCACAATTTAAATTTATGACATATATATATATGTGTGTGTGTGTGTCATGAATTTAAATTCAAAAAAGAAAGATATTAGGCATTTAAAATACTAACCAAATGTTGTTTATTATATTTTATTCTTTTTATAATTAATTTTTTGAACAAATTTACAAACTTTAAATTATTAAGTTAAACAAATTTTTAAACTATTATCCTACTTACCCGACTGAAACATATTCTTAAACTATTACCCTACCTACTCGAATTTCTTAGCATTCCTACCTACCCGATGGAAGATTTTAGATAGATTTATATCCCTATCTACTCTTTGTTCTCAACTTAAAATTTAATAATTAACATTTTAAATGTAGATTTATCAATCTTTAATTCCTAATTTAACATTTTTTTATTAACTGGAATTTTTTAGTATTTCTACCTACCTGTATCATTTTTAATTAACGTTTATTAATTTTTTATAATTATATTTAATATGTAAACTATATAATTATATAATTATAATAAGATATAATTATATAAGAAAATGTAATTGTAAATAATTTTATGATAAATTTATTTAAATAAAATTAAATAAATTCATCATAGAATTATTAATTTTTAAATTATACATATTAACATTTCCTTATTGTTTTAATTCTTTCCCACCCGAACTCTTATCCACCCGAATTTTCATAGTGCTATAGATAGTACTATCTATAGATAGTACTACAGTTAAATTATAAATATCTGTAGATAGTACTACAGTACTGTCTATAGTGCAGATATAGAGAGCACTTTATTCCCCCCAATTGCATGCAATCGCACGTATAAAAATCTTATTAATTACTGACTTATTTTGGTTAGTCAATGTATATATATATATATATATATATATATATATATATATATATATAGTAT